GGAGTCGGACGAGGAAGGATGAATGCAAGTCAGATCAATTCTGACATTTTCCTTGACTTATTCTGATGTAAATCAATATCTGTTGGCAATTGTTTGTGCCATTTTGAACTTTGTTCTTACATGACTTGGCCCACAGTGATTCCAACTGCTACTGATGCACTTTTGGTGATATATATATTTTCCTTTTTTGAGTTTCAGGAAACATGCAGGTGAAAAGAAAGTTTTGTTTTACCCTACACAACATCAAGTAAATGATTCTCAATTTGATATTAACTTTTTATTTGCACACTTCATCAAATAAAACACAACCTTGTATGGGATTTCAGTCTAAAAACTTGCATCTTTCTCAATTAGGTCTCAGTGACACAAGAGGGATGCCAACCTGAAATTCCTCTATTTTCTGGCCGACTTGGAATGTATATTGAAGGATCGGTTACTCCTTCCCTTTCTGATGTTCACATTAGAGTAATTGCTGTGGGAGACAGCCTTAATGCTGCTCTAAAGCAAGGTGATTTAGCACTTGAAACTAGCACAGGAGCAGACGGGCTGTTTGTTGCAGGACCTTTGTATGATGATATAACCTACACAGTTGAAGCTTCAAAGGTTTGCACATTATGTTTTAGAACCTACTTTTAAAAGATGACAATGATGCCTATTCTCACACAGGATTGTGGTTCCATATGCTTTTCTAACAGTATGTGGGGTGGTGATACTATTATTTGATGTACTTGTGTGGTTTAATTCTTCAAATGTATTTCTATGTTTTTTTTTGGCCATATATGATGACAGAATAAAAATTTGGACTTTTTTGTTTGGTAAATAATATTTTTAATGCACTTCTCTCTATTGAACTTCTGATATGACAACTCATAAACTAATTTCCTTTAAAAGAATACTTAAGTGGGAAAACCTTAATACACAAATATACTTGTACTAGTTTTACTTTCACCTCTACTCACTTCTCTTCCCATAGTGCCTGATATTTTGCTAATGTGTTGCAGCCTGGTTATCATGTCAAGCCAGTTGGTCATCATTCTTTTTCTTGTCAAAAACTTGGCCAAATTTCTGTACGCTTATATTCCAATAACGATGACAAAGAGCCGTTTCCTTCCGCTTTATTATCGTTGAGTGGTGATGATGGTTATAGGAATAATTCAGTAACGGGATTAGGGGGAACTTTTTTGTTCGGGAACTTATTTCCAGGGAGCTTCTACCTCCGCCCTTTGTTGAAGGTACTACTCTGGTGGTTCTATTACTGTCACTCTGGATTATCACTGATATTTTAATGTGATCCTTGAATGATGTTGCAATTATATCCAATGATGCCATACATACTGCTATTGGGAGTCAACTTCAAGTGTATAGTGAAGTAATAATCATTGAAGTAATGTTGTTGCAGCAGTACCAATCTGTTCCAAGTGGAACTCATCTGTACCATGCAGCTGAAAAGTAGTCTAAGGACTTAAAAACAGTTTTAACATTATGTACCTAAAAAAAAAAATTTTTTTTTGTCTTGACATATTGGTATTATTTTCTGTAGGAGTATGCATTTTCACCTGCTGCACAGGCAATTGAACTGGGTTCGGGTGAATCCAGAGAAGTCGTCTTTCATGCCACCCGTGTTGCTTACAGGTATATCCAGTTCAACTGGTTTGTTCTGACTATATTTAAGCCTTAACTTTTTATCTCATGCCAGTTGACCGAAATACTTTCCAAGCATTACATGGATGCTGCTCATGCCTTATGAGAAAAATCGAACTTCTTGATCCTAACAAAACTTCTCTTTTTAGCTGTGATCCCTGGTGATGACTAACAATTTGTGTTGATTTAAAAGTAGGCTTTAGTTTCTATCTTATCTTTTGTTTCTCGAAAGTTAGATGTTTTCTTTTCATCTGTTCTTAGATTTTTCTTTTTCCTTTGAAATCTTCTGTGAAATGTAGCGTGTGAACCACTGGACTGTTGATCCTTTGGTCTCATGCTATGCTTCGCATTAACAAATGAGTCCCTGGAGTTTTCATGCCTCTAAAATTTTAACAAGGTGAGATGTAATCTTCTTTGATACTCTTTAATCCTGTTAAAATGATGTAGCTAATAGTTTGCAAGATGCATGCTGATGCCTCTTGCAGGTTGCGCTTTTGTTTAACATAAAAATGTGTTTTGCAGCCAATGAAGTACTTCCTTTTTTAAAATTGTTCTCCTCTTCTTGTGAAATGGGTTGGCTCCTTTGTTGTTCGTCCAGCCCGATGGCTTGATGTTCACAAGACACTGAAAATATATCTACACAGTCAAATTTGCGATGCCTTCACGAGTTATAGCAGAATTATGCTTCTTTGCATCAAATCGGTAGTTTGCTGGTTATTATTGCAGATTTGCCTGAAGCCATGCATTGCATCCATCTAATCTTTTTAAGTACCATTTGTTTGTGTTACTGTGGGGTAAAACTTGTTTTTATGATTAAGCAGAGTGTTGGTTCTGTTCAACAGTGGTTCTGGATATCATTTCCATGAAAATCAGATTTTCTTACATATGGGGTTGCTATTTCTGCTTCCATACATAAAATGGCACACAATTCTCTTTCTACAGCATTGGTTAAAAGTTGAAATTATATGATGAGATGATTGCTTTACAGTGCAATGGGTGTGGTTACTCTCTTGTCTGGTCAGCCAAAAGAAGGTATCTCCATAGAAGCTCGGGCAGAGTCTAGAGGTTTTTATGAAGAGGCAGTTACAGACTCATCTGGAAGTTACCGTTTGAGGGGACTTCTACCTGAGACAACTTATACCATCAGAGTAGCAAAGAAGGGCAAGTTTGCTAGCGGCCGCATTGAGCGTGCATCTCCAGAGGAACTTTCCATTAAGGTCAGTGGTATAACTCAAGTGTGAACATATCCAATTATTTGTTGGAGCTGTTGACTAGGAATTGGGGATCACATTTTTCAATTTGCATGAAATATTTTTTGAAATGAAGTACCTTCAACACTGATTACTCTTCCTGAAAGCAATAATGAAGTGTTATATACCCTTTCAGTTACTGCTTGGGGCTGTTGTATGTGCATACATGTTTGTAGCACCTGTGAAATATTATGAGAAAGCTATGTGATTCCTTTTTTAAGGATATTATTAAATGCTTTGGACCTGATCTACTTCGAAATTATCTGGTAGTGGCGTTCTTCCACATATGTGCTTCTTGATAGCAATTTGTATTAAATCTAGTTCATTCATTTTGTGTAGGTTGAATATGAGGATATTAAGCAATTGGATTTTGTGGTTTTTGAACATCCGGAGATGACCATTTTAAGCGGCCATGTTGAGGGAAAGAGAATAAAGGAACTACATTCTCATCTTCGAGTGGAAATCATGTCAGCAACTGATCCATTGAGGACAGAGGCTGTTTTTCCCTTGCCTTTGTCAAATTTTTTTCAGGTGAAGGACTTGCCAAGGGGAAGGCACCTTGTGCAGCTTCAATGTGTTCTACCATCTACTACACACAGGTTAAGGTCTGAGGTTATCGAGGTCGACCTAGAAAGACAGAGTAACATACATGTTGGTCCAATCAAATTTGAGGTTGAAGAGGATCACCAGAAGCAGGTTCGTGCTCCCATTATAAAATATGTGGTTCAACCTTTAGCCGTGCCACTGTCCTTGTGATGTGAAATTCTTGGATTAATCATATGTTTGATTTTGTTGACGAGTGTTGAGCGAGAGATTTTAATGCCAATTGGGATGTTTCAAGATTCCTGAATTTCCTTTGATTGTGGATGGAATTCAATGCTTACAATTCCATGTCGGACATGCAGGAACTGACTGCAGCTCCTGTATATCCTTTAATTGCCGGAATTTCAGTGATTGCGCTGTTCATCAGTATTCCAAGGTAGCTGGAAAAGTTTCTGGGCCTTCTCCTGAAGGTGTGTAATTTTTATATTCGCACTTTGTATTGTATCAATCATACGTGCATTGTGCTTGTAGAATAAGGGACTTGCACCAGGCAATAGCAGGATTGCAACTCTCTGGATCGACTGGAACTGTAAAGAAAGATGCCAAAAGACTAATACCAAGAAAGAAGACTTGGTGAAGACTTTATGCTCTGGAATCTTGTAGGGAGATCCGAGCAAGGCTGACTTACTTTTCGGAGATTAATCCTGAAAAGCTGTGCTGGTTACATGAGCGGTCTCATGTTTGTGCGAAGATATGAATTTTGTTAGATGAGAAGAATGTAACTTATCAAATATTGTCAGGTACTTACTTGTAATCGTCCTTTTTTTTTTTTTTTCAAAGTAGGGATAGGAAGGGAAGAGGAACTTTGTTATTCGGTGTTTGAATTGATTTTTGAAGGGAAAGGAAGGAGAGGTAGGGGGATAAGGTTAGTTGTTTTACACATGTTTCATTTCGGTGCGAAAGTGGAGGAAAACAGAGGAAAGGTTTTCGACTAAAATAGTACAGTACTGTCTCAGATGTTGTTGTGTTATTACAGAGAGTTATATAGCAGTAGTAGTGTCTACTGCCTTTCCCTCTCCTCGCTGTCTTTTTGCCAGAAAACATATTTTTCTTTGCCTTTTTGTTGCTTTGGATTATGAAAACTTCTTTATTGGAATCTTCATTTCTTTCCTTGAATTCATACGGGTGCAAAAGATGTTTTATTATTGACTCCAAAAAACTTGGCACTTTGCTGTCGTCTACAAATTGACATGCCGCCTGAAGGCTTAATGGCAGGCAGCTAGTTTGATTTTGAAAAATTGTTTTTGGTTAATTATTAAATTGGTAAAATCACAAGAACGTTTTGGTTGTCCAAAGAAAAGTAGCTCACCAACAACAAACACAAAAGGTTCTGCTACTGAGCTACACCGCCCACCGGTACTGAACTAATCCACGGCAGGAAAGAAAAGAAGAGACAGCAAAAGTCAAATAAAGATACAGCAAAGTCAAGCAATCCACAGCAGCAAAAAACAAAAACAAAAAAAAACTTAAAGTAAAATCCTCGACACTACCCAGTACCCACTGTAATAGTAATAGTAATAATCCTCACTCGTCTCATCTTTTCTTTAGTAAAAACGAGTCAAACGCAAGAGCTAAGCATCTATGTGAGACCGACCCATTTTTCCCCAAAACCCCCCAAACACCCATCCCCGCCATTTATCCGTCGCCGTCGCCGTCCTCGTCCTCACCCTCCCCATCATCATGGCCTCTTCTACTCCCCCACCCCACTGCGCGTTGACTACCTCTAAGCCCTACCAATCCCACCACCCCCACCCCCACCCCCACAGTCCACACCCTCACCGCCACCACCACCACCACCACCACCCCAAGGTCTCCTTGAACCACCACCGCGCCTCCCAACCTCTTCCTCACCCTCCCGCCGTCGCCAGGCCCCCTCCCCCCGCCGCTCTCTCCACCACCAACCCCCCTTCTTTCCCTCATCTCTCCTCCAACTCCGAACTCTCTGCCGACTTCTCCGGCCGCCGATCCACCCGCTTCGTCTCCAAGATGCACTTCGGCCGCCCCAAGTCCGCCTCCTCCTCCAGCCGCCACAGCTCCGTCGCCGAGGAGGCCCTCCTGCAGGCCGTTCGTTTCAGCGGCGACGACGCCCGCTTCGACAGCATTCTCCTCGCTTTCGAGCCCAAGCTCTGCGGCACCGACGACTACACCTTCTTGCTCCGAGAACTCGGCAACCGAGGGGAGTGGTCCATGGCCATGAGGTGCTTCGACTTCGCCGTGGCCCGCGAGCGCAGGCGCAACGACCAGGGCAAGCTAGCCAGCTCCATGATCAGCATCCTGGGTCGGCTGGGCAAGGTGGATTTGGCCAAGAGAGTGTTCGACGACGCCGTCTCCCGGGGGTATGGAAACACCGTCTATGCTTATTCTGCCCTCATAAGTGCGTATGCCAAGAGCGGCCATTGCGACGAGGCCATTAGGGTCTTCGAGACCATGAAAGACTTGAGCTTGAAGCCTAATCTTGTGACTTACAATGCTCTCATCGATGCCTGCGGGAAAGGGGGTGCTGGTTTCAAGAGGGCCTCTGAGGTTTTCGATGAAATGCTGAGGAACGGGGTGCAGCCTGACAGGATTACCTACAATTCCCTTCTCGCTGTTTGCAGCGGGGCAGGACTGTGGGACACCGCGAGGTGCCTGTTTAAGGAGATGTTGTTCCGAGGTATTGACCAGGATATCTACACCTATAACACCCTTCTCGACGCCGCCTGTAACGGCGGCCACGTCGATGCAGCTTTTGACATCATGTCTGAGATGCCCGCCAAGAATATCTCCCCCAATCAGGTTACTTACAGTACCATCATCCGGGGTTGTGCCAAGGTGGGCAAATTGGACCGGGCGCTGAATTTGTTCCATGAGATGAAACATGCTGGCATGCGGTTGGACAGGGTGTCTTACAACACCTTGCTTGCTATCTATGCTAGCCTTGGCAGGTTTGAGGAGGCTCTCACCGTCGCTGAGGAGATGGAGAGTATGGGGATCAAGAAGGACGTCGTGACCTACAATGCGCTTCTAGATGGTTTCGGCAAACAAGGGATGTATGACAAGGTTAAGGAACTGTTTTCAAGGATGAAAGCTGATAATCTTTCTCCTAATTTATTGACCTATTCAACATTGATCAGCGTGTATTCCAAAGGAGGCCTTTATCGAGAGGCAATTCAGGTTTATAAAGAGTTTAAGCGCCAGGGGGTGAAGGCGGACGTTGTTTTCTACAGCAAGCTCATTGATGCCTTGTGTAAAAAGGGCCTTGTTGGATCATCTGCGTTGTTACTTGATGAGATGATGAATGAGGGCATCCAACCTAATGTTGTCACCTACAACTCTATAATTAACGCCTTTGGTTGGTCGATGCCGACCGAATATCCTCTGCAGAGCGACCAACAGACTGAATCCTCACTCTCAATTGCTGCTGCAAATGTTGCTGAAAGCAAGCCAGACGCTGAAAACAAAGACAGGATCATTAAGATTTTTGAGCAGTTAGCCACTGGTAAATCAGATTTTGACGAATCTGTTAACAGGGGGCGGCAGGACTTTCTGTGTGTATTGGGAGTTTTCCAAAAGATGCATGAGATGGAAATAAAACCAAATGTCGTCACGTTCTCAGCAATTCTGAACGCCTGCAGGTAACGGCTTCTTGCTTCTTGTTCATCCTGTAGTCATTCCTTAAATTTTTGGGGAGTCCTGTAGTTATTTCTTTTGTAGGGAAAGCTTTCAAAACTTTCCTTGGTTGCAGCCGCTGTAATTCATTTGAGGAGGCTTCAGTGTTGTTAGAGGAACTGCGTCTGTTTGATAATCATGTGTATGGAGTAGCGCATGGACTTCTCATGGGTCATGATGAGAAAGTTTGGATGCAAGCTCTTTCCCTTTTTGACGAAGTGATGCAGATGGACACTTCTACTGCATCTGCCTTCTATAATGCTTTGACTGACATGCTGTGGCATTTTGGTCAGGTAACTTCTTGTTACTGCTGCTGCTACTACTTTTTTTTGCTGGAATCCTATTGTTATCCAAAAGTCATATGTAACCTGGGTGCCAAGTTTTTTGGTAGGCCTACACACACACAGACACACACACCCTCAAAAAAAAAAAAAAAAAATCGTCATTTTGGAGTATTACTTCTCGGAAAAGTTGTTATCGTATAGTAGAGTATACTGGTAGCTTTTGCTATTGGTTGGTTAATAATTAATTGCCAAGTGAGAAAAATTTAAGTATCATAAGTCAACAGTACAATGGGTAATGTTTTATCAAACCTCTAATTTGGTATGGTAGGTTGCACTGACACGATCAACACTCGTTAATAGTAAGTAGTACTTCTCTCTGATTTATGGGGACACTTGTAATACTCGGGAACTTTCCAATCAACTGTTGACATGAAAATGTCCGTCCTGTGCTTGTATTTAATTTTCATACCAGCGAAGAGGTGCTCAGCTGGTGGTGCTGGAGGGCAAACGTCGACAAGTGTGGGAAAGTACGTGGTCTAATTCTTGCTTGGATTTGCATTTGATGTCTTCCGGTGCTGCACGGGCAATGGTTCATGCCTGGCTGCTCAATATACGCTCTGTCGTTTTTGAAGGCCATGAGCTACCAAAACTTATAAGGTAGTATTTTTATTTCCTTGGCAAAAAGCACGACTTAGTGCATCCAAGAGGGGAGTGAATAGGCAGGGGAGGGCAGCCCCATGCAAGTATATTATGTTAATCTTTGTCTTTGCTTATCTGAGTTAAGAAAGGGAAATTGATTCGTGTGATGATGCAGCATTTTGACGGGATGGGGCAAGCACAGCAAAGTCGTCGGTGATGGTGCGCTTAAACGCGCTGTTGAGGCACTGCTTAACGGCATGGGGGCGCCTTTCCGTGTTGCTAAGTGCAATATTGGAAGGTTTATATCAACAGGAGCCGTGGTGGCTTCATGGTTGAGAGAATCAGGCACCCTGAAAGTTCTTGTTCTTCAGGATGACAGAGTCCATCCAGAAGCCTCCAGGTTTGATAATGCTTCTGGCTTAGAACCACTTCCTTTGTAGCTCTGTTTAGTTTAGTTTCTTGTGTGTAACTAGGGTTTTGCCCAGCCAGCCATCCATCCATCCATCCATCTTGTGCAGTCGTGTAAATCAAAGTTGTAAGTAGCTTCCTACCGCCCCCGCCCCCGCCCCACCTGGTAGTTTTTAGGTTCGATGGGTCCTATCCTATTTTGTGGACTGTAGCCATGGAATGAATATGGCCATGGCATGGTGGGTTTCCAGTAGAATCTTGTTGGGATTTTGGTCAGGGAAAGATTCCCTCCTCCTTGTAAACCAACAAGCACGGACCGGCCTGTCCACCCTTCAGCCGGCGCCGGCATGTGATGATTCGGTGCGCTTGTGTACTAGTGTATTTTTTGAGGTCTATTATGAATGGAATTGAATGACCCAACAGTCTTTGCGAGGGATATGATGATGGTGGTGTTTTTGCTTTTTCGAGGGACATGTGATGCATCCACACATCTCTCTTTCTTTCGAAGCCCAAAGAGCTTACGATCAATTTTTACAAATCTAAACCCCGAGAAATCCAAAAGTCGGTATCACACATCTTTCTTGGCTGCTACATAATACTAATAAAATAATGGGTGGGATATATGAATGACATCTATTTGGGGGATTTTATTAATTAGTAGACGAGAACTATTAATAGCAATTAGTTATTAAGTAGTAGAACGAGAAAACCAGAAGATGAATGAGTATTGTAATGCGATGGTTCAGAACAACAAATGATACGAGTAGCATGTACTAGTGTTACCTGAAAAAGAGGTCTGGTCTGCACTCCATTATCTAAGGCTTAAGAACTCCCACGCTACTAAAAGAAAAGAGAAAAGAAAAAGGTTAGGAATCCTAATTTATTCCCTTTGAGAAAAGTAAGTAGATGCTAAAGCAAAGCTGATTAAACCAGCAGCACCATTCCATTCACTACCGTCGTATATTCCAAAATCCTCCGTTTGAGAAAAGTAGATCCTAAAGCAATGATGGTTAAATAAACTCCTGTATATTCCAGAATCCTAAAATTTTTTCCCTTTGAGAAAAGTAAGTAGATCCTAAAGCAATGATGATTATAGCGTCCGAAGAAGCCTGAAAGGGAACGTAACTTTGTCGTACTTCACGTTGTCCACAAAGCATTGAAGATTCCCCCCACCCCCCCCCCCCTTTTTAGGGGATAATTTCAGATGTCGCCTGAGGCAAGGCTCCCTTGATTTGATATTTATAAAATAGAAAAGAAATATTGAAATAATTTATTTAGAATTTATAAGAGAATTTCATTAAAATATTTAAGGGTAAAATTGTCATTTTAAATGACAAGAGAGGTATGTGTAAATTTTTAAATCTCAGAGAAGCTCAATGAAATTGTCAGAAACCTCAGGTGAGGTTTTTGAAATTATCCCTTTTTTTATAATTTCCGTATTTGGATTTTTTTTTTCTCATTTGCTGCATCATTTCTTTTTAGGAAACAAAAACACGTACACTATTCTATTCTACTTGATATTCTACTTGATATGTCTATAAAATGTCTATAAAATGGAAAGATCATTCCATGCAAACTGATATAAAAGAAAATTTTACATTCCAATGTTTAGGATACAAATCAGAATGGATTGTCTATTCTATTTTTCAATGTTAAGTATAATCGATTTTTAGATGTCAAAATAGAATAATATATATGTATACATATATAATTGACTTATTACCTAGAAATCTATTATAGAACATTACATGTTTTTACTTTTGTCTTGTTTGTTTGTGCAATACCTATTTGTTTACCTTATACAAGGAACTTTGACACGTACCTATTTTTAGATTGTGGATGTCACAAGAATCCAGGATAATTGAGTTTGGCTTCGCCAGTTTCTTGATCCCACACTTGACCAGCTGCTCAAGAAAGTTGTTAGCCGATTGGATTGAAATGTGGAATAATCATCAATTAATTAACCAATGCATGCATGAAGCATCCAGAAGGGTTTATCCCCAAAAAATAAGAAGGTCGAATGTAGATGTAACAATAATAATACCTGTAAGCAATACTATATGGTTCTTTTTTCTTTTTTTTTCAAGATAATATACTAACTACTACTTGAGGTTGTAAACTCTCACTTGTAGAGAACAAACAAAATATCACTTGCGTATATATATATATATATTGCCAAATTCATCCTTCCGAAACATATACTATAGGTGGCATTGAATTGGCATAGAAAATATGTCACCGAGGATCCCAAGTGATTTCCATCAGAGTGGAAGATATTGTTGTTGTATTGATTGATGGAGCATATCTACATGTTTCCAAAATAATCAACTAAATTGAACTAAAGAAACTAATGGGGTGAAGATGGTATATAGTTTAGTTTGTTCCCTATTCATTTTTCTTAAAGAAGGAATGTGAATGTTGTATAACTTTATGACCACATTCATCTAGCCTGAACAGAAGGAAACAGGATAATCAATTTAAATTAGTACGTGGTTATATTCTTTAACTAACTATTATGACAGATTATAATACGTACATGTAGAGTTGATTCTTATAGCCAGTATACTAATCAACTTAATTCGTTTTTTTTTTGGCCATATATGATGACAGAATAAAAATTTGGACTTTTTTCTTTGGTAAATAATATTTTTAATGCACTTCTCTCTATTGAACTTCTGATATGACAACTCATAAACTAATTTCCTTTAAAAGAATACTTAAGTGGGAAAACCTTAATGCACAAATATACTTGTACTAGTTTTACTTTATCCTCTACTCACTTCTCTTCCCATAGTGCCTGATATTTTGCTAATGTGTTGCAGCCTGGTTATCATGTCAAGCCAGTTGGTCATCATTCTTTTTCTTGTCAAAAACTTGGCCAAATTTCTGTACGCTTATATTCCAATAACGATGACAAAGAGCCATTTCCTTCCGCTTTATTATCGTTGAGTGGTGATGATGGTTATAGGAATAATTCAGTAACAGGATTAGGGGGAACTTTTTTGTTCGGGAACTTATTTCCAGGGAGCTTCTACCTCCGCCCTTTGTTGAAGGTACTACTCTGGTGGTTCTATTACTGTCACTCTGGATTATCACTGATATTTTAATGTGATCCTTGAATGATGTTGCTATTATATCCAACGATGCCATACATACTGCTATTGGGAGTCAACTTCAAGTGTATAGTGAACTAATAATGATTGAAGTAATGTTGTTGCAGCAGTACCAATCTGTTCCAAGTGGAACTCATCTGTACCATGCAGCTGAAAAGTAGTCTAAGGACTTAAAAACAGTTTTAACATGATGTACCAAAAAAAAATTTTTTTTTTGTCTTGACATATTGTTATTATTTTCTGTAGGAGTATGCATTTTCACCTGCTGCACAGGCAATTGAACTGGGTTCGGGTGAATCCAGAGAAGTCGTCTTTCATGCCACCCGTGTTGGTTACAGGTATATCCAGTTCAAGTGGTTTGTTTTGACTATATTTAAGCCTTAACTTTTGTCTCATGCCAGTTGACTGAAATACTTTCCAAGCATCACATGGATCCTGCTCATGCTTTATGAGAAAAATCAAACTTCTTGATCCTAACAAAACTTCTCTTTTCAGCTGTGATCCCTGGTGATGACTCACAATTTGTGTTGATTTAAAAGTAGGCTTTAGTTTCTATCTTATCTTTTGTTTCTCGAAAGTTAGATGTTTTCTTTAAATCTGTTCTTAGATTTTTCTTTTTCCTTTGAAATCCTCTGTGAAATGTAGCGTGTGAACCACTGGACTGTTGATCCTTTGGTCTCATGCTATGCTTTGCATTAACAAATGAGTCCCTGGAGTTTTCATGCCTCTAAAATTTTAATGAGTTGAGATGTAATCTTCTTTGATACTCTTTAATCCTGTTAAAATGATGTAGCTAATAGCTTGCAAGATGCATGCTGATGCCTCTTGCAGGTTGCGCTTTTGTTTAACATAAAAATGTGTTTTGCAGCCAATGAAGTACTTCCTTTTTTAAAATTGTTCTCCTCTTCTTGTGAAATGGGTTGGCTCCTTTGTTGTTCGTCCAGCCGATGGCTTGATGTTCACAAGACACTGAAAATATATCTACACAGTCAAATTTGCGATGCCTTCACGAGTTATAGCAGAATTATGCTTCTTTGCATCAAATCGGTAGTTTGCTGGTTATTATTGCAGATTTGCCTGAAGCCATGCATTGCATCCATCTAATCTTTTTAAGTACCATTTGTTTGTGTTACCGTGGGGTACAACTTGTTTTTATGATTAAGCAGAGTGTTGGTTCTGTTCAACAGTGGTTCTGCATATCATTTCCATGAAAATCAGATTTTCTTACATATGGGGTTGCTATTTCTGCTTCCATACATAATATGGCACACAATTCTCTTTCTACAGCATTGGTTAAAAGTTGAAATTATATGATGAGATGATTGCTTTACAGTGCAATGGGTGTGGTTACTCTCTTGTCTGGTCAGCCAAAAGAAGGTATCTCCATAGAAGCTCGGGCAGAGTCTAGAGGTTTTTATGAAGAGGCAGTTACAGACTCATCTGGAAGTTACCGTTTGAGGGGACTTCTACCTGAGACAACTTATACCATCAGAGTAGCAAAGAAGGGCAAGTTTGCTAGCGGCCGCATTGAGCGTGCATCTCCAGAGGAACTTTCCATTAAGGTCAGTGGTATAACTCAAGTGTGAACATATCCAATTATTTGTTGGAGCTGTTGACTAGGAATTGGGGATCACATTTTTCAATTTGCATGAAATATTTTTTGAAATGAAGTACCTTCAACACTGATTACTCTTCCTGAAAGCAATAATGAAGTGTTATATACCCTTTCAGTTACTGCTTGGGGCTGTTGTATGTGCATACATGTTTGTAGCACCTGTGAAATATTATGAGAAAGCTATGTGATTCCTTTTTTAAGGATATTATTAAATGCTTTGGACCTGATCTACTTCGAAATTATCTGGTAGTGGCGTTCTTCCACATATGTGCTTCTTGATAGCAATTTGTATTAAATCTAGTTCATTCATTTTGTGTAGGTTGAATATGAGGATATTAAGCAATTGGATTTTGTGGTTTTTGAACATCCGGAGATGACCATTTTAAGCGGCCATGTTGAGGGAAAGAGAATAAAGGAACTACATTCTCATCTTCGAGTGGAAATCATGTCAGCAACTGATCCATTGAGGACAGAGGCTGTTTTTCCCTTGCCTTTGTCAAATTTTTTTCAGGTGAAGGACTTGCCAAGGGGAAGGCACCTTGTGCAGCTTCAATGTGTTCTACCATCTACTACACACAGGTTAAGGTCTGAGGTTATCGAGGTCGACCTAGAAAGACAGAGTAACATACATGTTGGTCCAATCAAATTTGAGGTTGAAGAGGATCACCAGAAGCAGGTTCGTGCTCCCATTATAAAATATGTGGTTCAACCTTTAGCCGTGCCACTGTCCTTGTGATGTGAAATTCTTGGATTAATCATATGTTTGATTTTGTTGACGAGTGTTGAGCGAGAGATTTTAATGCCAATTGGGATGTTTCAAGATTCCTGAATTTCCTTTGATTGTGGATGGAATTCAATGCTTACAATTCCATGTCGGACATGCAGGAACTGACTGCAGCTCCTGTATATCCTTTAATTGCCGGAATTTCAGTGATTGCGCTGTTCATCAGTATTCCAAGGTAGCTGGAAAAGTTTCTGGGCCTTCTCCTGAAGGTGTGTAATTTTTATATTCGCACTTTGTATTGTATCAATCATACGTGCATTGTGCTTGTAGAATAAGGGACTTGCACCAGGCAATAGCAGGATTGCAACTCTCTGGATCGACTGGAACTGTAAAGAAAGATGCCAAAAGACTAATACCAAGAAAGAAGACTTGGTGAAGACTTTATGCTCTGGAATCTTGTAGGGAGATCCGAGCAAGGCTGACTTACTTTTCGGAGATTAATCCTGAAAAGCTGTGCTGGTTACATGAGCGGTCTCATGTTTGTGCGAAGATATGAATTTTGTTAGATGAGAAGAATGTAACTTATCAAATATTGTCAGGTACTTACTTGTAATCGTCCTTTTTTTTTTTTTTCAAAGTAGGGATAGGAAGGGAAGAGGAACTTTGTTATTCGGTGTTTGAATTGATTTTTGAAGGGAAAGGAAGGAGAGGTAGGGGGATAAGGTTAGTTGTTTTACACATGTTTCATTTCGGTGCGAAAGTGGAGGAAAACAGAGGAAAGGTTTTCGACTAAAATAGTACAGTACTGTCTCAGATGTTGTTGTGTTATTACAGAGAGTTATATAGCAGTAGTAGTGTCTACTGCCTTTCCCTCTCCTCGCTGTCTTTTTGCCAGAAAACATATTTTTCTTTGCCTTTTTGTTGCTTTGGATTATGAAAACTTCTTTATTGGAATCTTCATTTCTTTCCTTGAATTCATACGGGTGCAAAAGATGTTTTATTATTGACTCCAAAAAACTTGGCACTTTGCTGTCGTCTACAAATTGACATGCCGCCTGAAGGCTTAATGGCAGGCAGCTAGTTTGATTTTGAAAAATTGTTTTTGGTTAATTATTAAATTGGTAAAATCACAAGAACGTTTTGGTTGTCCAAAGAAAAGTAGCTCACCAACAACAAACACAAAAGGTTCTGCTACTGAGCTACACCGCCCACCGGTACTGAACTAATCCACGGCAGGAAAGAAAAGAAGAGACAGCAAAAGTCAAATAAAGATACAGCAAAGTCAAGCAATCCACAGCAGCAAAAAACAAAAACAAAAAAAACTTAAAGTAAAATCCTCGACACTACCCAGTACCCACTGTAATAGTAATAGTAATAATCCTCACTCGTCTCATCTTTTCTTTAGTAAAAACGAGTCAAACGCAAGAGCTAAGCATCTATGTGAGACCGACCCATTTTTCCCCAAAACCCCCCAAACACCCATCCCCGCCATTTATCCGTCGCCGTCGCCGTCCTCGTCCTCACCCTCCCCATCATCATGGCCTCTTCTACTCCCCCACCCCACTGCGCGTTGACTACCTCTAAGCCCTACCAATCCCACCACCCCCACCCCCACCCCACAGTCCACACCCTCACCGCCACCACCACCACCACCACCCCAAGGTCTCCTTGAACCACCACCGCGCCTCCCAACCTCTTCCTCACCCTCCCGCCGTCGCCAGGCCCCCTCCCCGCCGCTCTCTCCACCACCAACCCCCCCTTCTTTCCCTCATCTCTCCTCCAACTCCGAACTCTCTGCCGACTTCTCCGGCCGCCGATCCACCCGCTTCGTCTCCAAGATGCACTTCGGCCGCCCCAAGTCCGCCTCCTCCTCCAGCCGCCACAGCTCCGTCGCCGAGGAGGCCCTCCTGCAGGCCGTTCGTTTCAGCGGCGACGACGCCCGCTTCGACAGCATTCTCCTCGCTTTCGAGCCCAAGCTCTGCGGCACCGACGACTACACCTTCTTGCTCCGAGAACTCGGCAACCGAGGGGAGTGGTCCATGGCCATGAGGTGCTTCGACTTCGCCGTGGCCCGCGAGCGCAGGCGCAACGACCAGGGCAAGCTAGCCAGCTCCATGATCAGCATCCTGGGTCGGCTGGGCAAGGTGGATTTGGCCAAGAGAGTGTTCGACGACGCCGTCTCCCGGGGTATGGAAACACCGTCTATGCTTATTCTGCCCTCATAAGTGCGTATGCCAAGAGCGGCCATTGCGACGAGGCCATTAGGGTCTTCGAGACCATGAAAGACTTGAGCTTGAAGCCTAATCTTGTGACTTACAATGCTCTCATCGATGCCTGCGGGAAAGGGGGTGCTGGTTTCAAGAGGGCCTCTGAGGTTTTCGATGAAATGCTGAGGAACGGGGTGCAGCCTGACAGGATTACCTACAATTCCCTTCTCGCTGTTTGCAGCGGGGCAGGACTGTGGACACCGCGAGGTGCCTGTTTTAAGGAGATGTTGTTCCGAGGTATTGACCAGGATATCTACACCTATAACACCTTCTCGACGCCGCCTGTAACGCGCGGCCACGTCGATGCAGCTTTTGACATTCATGTCTGAGATGCCCGCCAAGAATATCTCCCCCAATCAGGTTACTTACAGTACCATCATCCGGGGTTGTGCCAAGGTGGGCAAATTGGACCGGGCGCTGAATTTGTTCCATGAGATGAAACATGCTGGCATGCGGTTGGACAGGGTGTCTTACAACACTTGCTTGCTATCTATGCTAGCTTGGCAGGTTTGAGGAGGCTCTCACCGTCGCTGAGGAGATGGAGAGTATGGGGATCAAGAAGGACGTCGTGACCTACAATGGCTTCTAGATGGGTTTCGGCAAACAAGGGATGTATGACAGGTTAAGGAACTGTTTTCAAGGATGAAAGCTGATAATCTTTCTCCTAATTTATTGACCTATTCAACATTGATCAGCGTGTATTCCAAAGGAGGCCTTTATCGAGAGGCAATTCAGGTTTATAAAGAGTTTAAGCGCCAGGGGTGAAGGCGGACGTTGTTTTCTACAGCAAGCTCATTGATGCCTTGTGTAAAAAGGGCCTTGTTGGATCATCTGCGTTGTTACTTATGAGATGATGAATGAGGGCATCCAACCTAATGTTGTCACCTACAACTCTATAATTAACGCCTTTGGTTGGTCGATGCGACGAATATCCTCTGCAGAGCGACCAACAGACTGAATCCTCACTCTCAATTGCTGCTGCTGCAAATGTTGCTGAAAGCAAGCCAGACGCTGAAAACAAAGACAGGATCATTAAGATTTTTGAGCAGTTAGCCACTGGTAAATCAGATTTTGACGAATCTGTTAACAGGGGGCGGCAGGACTTTCTGTGTGTATTGGGAGTTTTCCAAAAGATGCATGAGATGGAAATAAAACAAATGTCGTCACGTTCTCAGCAATTCTGAAGCCTGCAGGTAACGGCTTCTTGCTTCTTGTTCATCCTGTAGTCATTCCTAAATTTTGGGGAGTCCTGTAGTTATTTCTTTTGTAGGGAAAGCTTTCAAAACTTTCCTTGGTTGCAGCCGCTGTAATTCATTTGAGGAGGCTTCAGTGTTGTTAGAGGAACTGCGTCTGTTTGATAATCATGTGTATGGAGTAGCGCATGGACTTCTCATGGGTCATGATGAGAAAGTTTGGATGCAAGCTCTTTCCCTTTTTGACGAAGTGATGCAGATGGACACTTCTACTGCATCTGCCTTCTATAATGCTTTGACTGACATGCTGTGGCATTTTGGTCAGGTAACTTCTTGTTACTGCTGCTGCTACTACTTTTTTTGCTGGAATCCTATTGTTATCCAAAAGTCATATGTAACCTGGGTGCCAAGTTTTTTGGTAGGCCTACACACACACAGACACACACACCCTCAAAAAAAAAAAAAAAAATCGTCATTTTGGAGTATTACTTCTCGGAAAAGTTGTTATCGTATAGTAGAGTATACTGGTAGCTTTTGCTATTGGTTGGTTAATAATTAATTGCCAAGTGAGAAAATTTAAGTATCATAAGTCAACAGTACAATGGGTAATGTTTTATCAAACCTCTAATTTGGTATGGTAGGTTGCACTGACACGATCAACACTCGTTAATAGTAAGTAGTACTTCTCTCTGATTTATGGGGACACTTGTAATACTCGGAACTTTCCAATCAACTGTTGACATGAAAATGTCCGTCCTGTGCTTGTATTTAATTTTCATACCAGCGAAGAGGTGCTCAGCTGGTGGTGCTGGAGGGCAAACGTCGACAAGTGTGGGAAAGTACGTGGTCTAATTCTTGCTTGGATTTGCATTTGATGTCTTCCGGTGCTGCACGGGCAATGGTTCATGCCTGGCTGCTCAATATACGCTCCTGTCGTTTTTGAAGCCATGAGCTACCAAACTTATAAGGTAGTATTTTTATTTCCTTGGCAAAAAGCACGACTTAGTGCATCCAAGAGGGGAGTGAATAGGCAGGGGAGGGCAGCCCCATGCAAGTATATTATGTTAATCTTTGTCTTTGCTTATCTGAGTTAAGAAAGGGAAATTGATTCGTGTGATGATGCAGCATTTTGACGGGATGGGGCAAGCACAGCAAAGTCGTCGGTGATGGTGCCTTAAACGCGCTGTTGAGGCACTGCTTAACGGCATGGGGCGCCTTTCCGTGTTGCTAAGTGCAATATTGGAAGGTTTATATCAACAGGAGCCGTGGTGGCTTCATGGTTGAGAGAATCAGGCACCCTGAAAGTTCTTGTTCTTCAGGATGACAGAGTCCATCCAGAAGCCTCCAGGTTTGATAATGCTTCTGGCTTAGAACCACTTCCTTTGTAGCTCTGTTTAGTTTAGTTTCTTGTGTGTAACTAGGGTTTTGCCCAGCCAGCCATCCATCCATCCATCATCTTGTGCAGTCGTGTAAATCAAAGTTGTAAGTAGCTTCCTACCGCCCCGCCCCCGCCCCACCTGGTAGTTTTTAGGTTCGATGGGTCCTATCCTATTTTGTGGACTGTAGCCATGGAATGAATATGGCCATGGCATGGTGGGTTTCCAGTAGAATCTTGTTGGGATTTTGGTCAGGGAAAGATTCCCTCCTCCTTGTAAACCAACAAGCACGGACCGGCCTGTCCACCCTTCAGCCGGCGCCGGCATGTGATGATTCGGTGCGCTTGTGTACTAGTGTATTTTTTGAGGTCTATTATGAATGGAATTGAATGACCCAACAGTCTTTGCGAGGGATATGATGATGGTGGTGTTTTTGCTTTTTCGAGGGACATGTGATGCATCCACACATCTCTCTTTCTTTCGAAGCCCAAAGAGCTTACGATCAATTTTTACAAATCTAAACCCCGAGAAATCCAAAAGTCGGTATCACACATCTTTCTTGGCTGCTACATAATACTAATAAAATAATGGGTGGGATATATGAATGACATCTATTTGGGGGATTTTATTAATTAGTAGACGAGAACTATTAATAGCAATTAGTTATTAAGTAGTAGAACGAGAAAACCAGAAGATGAATGAGTATTGTAATGCGATGGTTCAGAACAACAAATGATACGAGTAGCATGTACTAGTGTTACCTGAAAAAGAGGTCTGGTCTGCACTCCATTATCTAAGGCTTAAGAACTCCCACGCTACTAAAAGAAAAGAGAAAAGAAAAAGGTTAGGAATCCTAATTTATTCCCTTTGAGAAAAGTAAGTAGATGCTAAAGCAAAGCTGATTAAACCAGCAGCACCATTCCATTCACTACCGTCGTATATTCCAAAATCCTCCGTTTGAGAAAAGTAGATCCTAAAGCAATGATGGTTAAATAAACTCCTGTATATTCCAGAATCCTAAAATTTTTTCCCTTTGAGAA